TGCACATATCTTATTTTGAAGTAAAAAAGGTGGGGCAAAAACACGTGACGGGCCGGATAACTATCCTCGGCGGGCCACATGTGGGGCCACATGCTTTGTGGGGGAAGAGAGGAAAAGAGAGGAACTAATATCAAAGGCTCAATAGAAAGTAACTGTTTAGAAAATAATGATGGCAACATAAGTACAAATATGCTTGATACAATTAATATATGAAATGTTATCAGAGTTGTAAAAGCCCCCAATAAAATCTTTTAATAAAAAGTAAAAATAAAAGAAATAAAATGTTTTGTGTTATCATTAGTGGTGTTTATGTATTAGATATGCATATCCTCAGAGTCCCTAGCCCAGTGCTTGTCAAGGACTTACAGCAATCATACTAAACACAGAAACCAAACTCACTGCCAACAAGTCGAATCTAATTGTAGGCCCCTATGACACAGAGCAGAGCTGCCCCATGGGTTCCAAGGCTGTGCTCGTTATGGAAGCAGACCCCTACACCGTTCTCCAGCTGCCAAATTAACATAAAACACTTCTGGCCCACAGAGAGGGAACTACATTTTTGGAACTGAAAGTACATGCAGCGTCATCATCAGAAGACTCTTATTTGAAGGCTAGTCGGGAGAAAGACAAGGATTTCTACTTCCCCAAAGAGTTAGTCTCGGAAACTGACAGGGGTAGTTCTACTCTGTCTGATAGGGTCGCTATAAGTCAGAAGGGACTCAGTGGCAATGAGGTTTTGGGGGGTAAGCAAAATCAAAGGACTCAGTCCTGCTAATACTCAGCTATAGTAGCATTACTTACCTAGGTTCACCTCTCTATCATCTGCAAAATGAAGGAATTAAGTAAGATGACCTCAAAGTCACTCAGAGATAATGTGAAAAAATCTATGGCTCCCAATCAATAGACAGGCCTACCAGTACAGGACAGCACCGGAGTACCCTTCCTTAAAGGAAAGAGTGCTGGTAACTGTGAGGGTTACAATCAACAGCGGGAAACAAAAGGCGTATGAATTGCTGAATGAAAAACAAATTTGCTGTGTCAAGTTTTCAGGCCAATCACAACAAAGTTTAAATGAAGTAAAATCATAGTAAACATCCTACTACCCTTCTTAAAAGAAACCTTGATATTACTTGCCAGTCATTTTCCCTTACTGTTTGACAGTATCAATTTATGTTGTTATAAAGCACTTATTTCACTATCTTGTATTAGTTTCCTATATTTTGAAATCTGTCTCCTGCTCCCAAAACTGTAAACTCCATTAAGACAGAATGGGTGGAGGGGGAGGTCTACAGTGCCATGAAAATCTCCAGTTTTAAAATATGGAATTCTTTCAGGTTTGGTATGTAAGACTTTTCCATGGGAAAAAGTATACTTCTGCAAATGGCAATGTAAATGTTCTGGTTCTTTTAAAACTGTCTTGATGAAACTGATACTAAAAACTAAAAACACTGCTATCAGGTTGATTCTGACTTAGAGGCCCTGCAGGTTAGAGTACAATTAATTGCCCATTAGTCCTAGGCTGTAATCTGGATGGAAGCAGACTGCCACACCTTTCTCCTATGGAGTGATTGCCAGGTTAGAAATGCTGACCTTTGGTTAAAACCCCCCAAAACTGGTACCTGAAACTAGTATAAAACTTAAAACTCATTGCCAGTCATTTTCACTCCTAGCAACCCTATAGGATAGAGTAGAACTGCCCCTCTGGGTTTCGGAGGCCGTAACTCTTTATAGGTATAGAAAGCCTCATCTTGGTTATTATAAATTACAGCATAAACTGAAATAGTTCTTTGGTAAACCAATGTGACAATATTTGGCGAAATCAATAGTATGTTTTATTCCCTGACTCAGTAATCACCTTCCAGAATTTATCCTAAAGAATACATGTAAGAGAAGCATGAACAAATGTATTTGTTCTGTCACTATTTATTAAAAGCAAATAACCAGAAGCATACTATTGTACCTATCAATATATGAATATTATATACAAGGAGAAAGCATATGCAATTTTAAGTAGTCATAGTAAAATGCAAAAGAGTATGTTCACTGTGAGTAACCATATAAAAGTAGAAGGTGACATATAAAACAAATTATTTTGTGGAAGTATTAGAAAAATTATTAAATATCCTTTGATGCTATAATGATACAGTTCTTTCAGTAAAATAGACAATTTCCCCCCGCCCAAAAATGTTTTGGTTTCCTGTGAATTATAAATCTTGAATCAAAATTCAATACAAATTTTACCTTTACATTTTTTCTAATAAAAATTGAAAACTCAACCACAGCAATGGCCTACACAATCAAGATATTGTTATCATTTAAAAATTGTTCAACAAATGAATTTAGATTTACCTCTCAATTCATCTAACACTAATTACTCCGTTTCTAAAATTTACAGACTTAATGTTGCCTTGTTTAAATAGCTATATGCAAAAACTAAATAAAACTATTCTTTGAATCTAGAGCTGTATGAGCTCCCATTTAAAAAAAACATACACAACTATTCTTTGAAATTATAATACTTCTGTCAAATCAACAGAATTACAATATTTTCAGAAACAGCAACAACG